CCCCCCCCCCAATTTCTAAAAAAAACAAACATAGTTAATAACACTGACTTTTTGAAGACTTCAGGACAGTCACCATATAGATGTTCCATATTCTGGATCTGCCTGATGGCTTCCTCACAGTATCATTGAATTTGTTTCTCTGTCCCCCGATTTCATGTACTGGGCTTGATTGGGTTCAGGCTAAATGCTTTTATTTATTCATTCATTTATTTAAAAATATTTTTATTGATTTCAGAGAGAGGAAGGGAGAGGGCGAGAGAGATAGAAACATCAATGATAATAGAGTCATCGATCGGCTGCCTCCCTCACTAGGGATCGAGCCCGCAACCCGGGCATGTGCTCTGACTGGGAATCGAACCACTATCTCCTGGATCCTAGGTTGATGCTCAACCGCTGAGCCACGCCCGGCTGAAGGGGCTAAATGCTTTTAGCAAGAAGATTATAAAAGGGATGTATACTTCCCAGAGCAACACATCAGGAAGCAGGTGTGTGTCAGGTCTTCTCGCTCTCAGTGATGCTCAGTTTGATTGTGATGGCAGAGGTGTCTCTGACTCTCTTTTTCAGTAAACAGAACAGTGGAGTGTTATGGTCTCAAAAGTTTAGTTTAAAGAAGAAAGACCTCCCTACCATTGGATCTTTTTGCAAGTCAAATTTGTCTCAAAGCTAACTTCTGAGCCTACAAATATATAACGATTCGTCCCTGTGATGGTTATGTGGCTATCTTTGGAAGATTTTGTGGCGTTTATTGCCGCAACCTGAAAAAGGCTCAGAAAGGTGAAAAGAAGAGTGATTGATTATACAAGAACGAGTTAGACCAAGGAAAATTGGGATTCTTCAGCCTAAAAACAGGAAAGTCAACAGGGAGATAATAAGAGTGACCGCTTATTGGCTTACTGGGCACTGTTTATTTCTTTACAAGTATCCTCTGAAAAATGTGCTCTTACTGCCCCCTGTTCTACAGGGAGACGATGGTCACATTAAGTAATTTGTGTAATGCTGCACAGCTACTAGGTAATAGAACTGGGATTTGAAGCCAGTCTGCCTGGCTGGCACCTGTCTTCCACCTCTGTGCCGTACTCCCTGCTGGGTACTCAGGCACAGGATCTCGGAAGAGCAGAATAGAGAGACAGTCCTTGACTTTTTTTAAAAAACAGTAATAAACATTATTTCATGGTTTCAGTGGGTCAGGATTTGGGAGTGGTTTAGCTGAGCAGTTGGACCTGGGATCTCTCATGAGGCTGCAGTTGATTTGTTGGCTGGATCACAATCATCTGAAGCCTAGACTGGGGCTGGGAGCTTCTCTTCCTGGGTGGCTCATTTGCCTGGTTGGTGAGTGGTGTTGGTGGTCGTAAGGCCTCAGTTCTTTCCCCCCACTCCTAAGCTTTTGAAGGAACTTGTTTTCACGTTACAAGTGTTACTTTATGGAAATTTTGGAACTCACCAAGCCCCTCAGTGAAACTGACTGAAAATAGCAATGGAGTGATCCATTACAGGGAAGAAAGGTTAAGGGAAGGGAGAGATGCTTAGGAGAACTTGAAAACCTGAAGGGTAACTGATTTCTACTTTATTATAACAGATTCTTGAATTGATCCATACTTTTTCTTCTTGCTAAGTTCTTAAAGGGCTGTGTCTGTTTCTTAGAGAAATTTGGGCTTTTTAGTCGGGGGAGGTTGTTTCTAGGAAGTGCTCATGGAGATACTTATTTATACATACCCTGCCTTGTTTTAGAAAACCAGTGAGATAGCTTGTGATAATACAGAGGCAACTAAGAGATAAAATTAAGTGGTGGGTGGTGGGTGGGGAGGGAGGTTGGAGTATGTGGCATTTTCCTGGTCTGGCTTTGTAAGATCTGGGGAAGGCATGGGAAGACTGCATACCCTTTGGAAATCCTCAGAAACGCTGCTCTCTCTTGGTAATTAGTGAACAGCCCTGACCTGTAGTTTACAGCTCCTGAGCGGTAACTGGATGGAAGCTATTCATTGTGGTTAAGCTTGGTGGTGGGGGTCAGGGGTGTGCATGTAGCAGTTTCCAGCCCACCTAGGGTTTGGGGCTTCTGCCTCGTGCCAGTTTGTTCTGTTTTCCTGCTGTGGTTTCCCAGCTCGTTCTGTTTGCCCACACGGCTGACTTTACCTGGTGTTCTGGGGACCGTGTGAATCTGAGCTGCCTTCCCACCTCAGTCACAGAGCCAGGTGTCGACTGGTCTCTCTTTCCAGAACTAACCCATGGCCATGCGACTAGGGGGCTGACTTGTTTTTATTGAACTTTTATTGTTTAAAAACTTTTTCCTTATTTCAAAGTGAAACATTTTCAGGGTTGAAAATAAAAAACAACAACACTTTGAACACAAATAAGAAAAAAATAAGCCCCTGAAATTGTTCATCTAGAGATGACTCCTGGCGACACTTCCTCAGGGTCTCCTGACCAGTTTCTTTTATTTTTGCCACTCTTATTTATGTGGGTAGGGGGATGCTGCTTGAAAGAACCGCTTTATTCCTCTGTATGCCTTCAGTATCTCTATTTTTTTCTTATGGTCCTGAAGTATAAGCAAACACATAAGTAATGTAGAAATTATGTAGTTAACCTAATAATCTAAAATGTTTAGAAAAGAAAGAATACAGCCTTCCCCACCAGCCTCATACAACAGTGATAACAATGAGACATATTCCTTTCTGATCTTTTTTCCATGCCACAAGACAGATTTGAAGATGCAGTGAAATGTTGCCAGGGGAGTCAGAGTAGGCGAAGTGAGAGCTTATAACTTACAGAATCTTAACTCTGGGTGCATTTGCTTTCTTCCATCCATGTTGTTTTTTGTGTCCAACAGTGGAGAACACACAGCTGACCCTGAACCTGCAGACAGAGAACAAAGGCGGTGTTGTCTCGGGCGGTGAGCTGACAATTTTCCTGGACGGGCCGACTGTTGATCTGGGAAGCGTGCCTAATGGCAATGCCGTGACAGACGGTAAGTGCTGCCCTGTTCCCCGGGGGTGGGGTGGTGGGTAGGGAGGTGCCCAGAGTTTGGTTCTCTACCAGGCCCCTGAGTTTGGGTATGGCTCAGCCAGCCCTGGCCCATAACTAGCCCTGATTCTTTTTAGCACCCATAACGTGATCAAAATCATGACATGATTTTACAAGGACAGCTTTCTGATAAAGGACCAAAATAAACGTCAAGTCTTTATAAGTGTGTTGTTTGGTTTGAGAGCAGAGAAAAACATCTTTTCATCACACATGGGCTTTGGAAAATAAAATGTGTTTATTACATGTTACTTGGGCCCATTTTTCTTCACCCCAATACAGTTAACCTTCCTGGGGATCTTGAGGGTGCCTTTTATGAGGTGCTATTGGTTGGGAAAGAGGACTCTGTGTCTTAGAGATTCTCACTAGCAAAATACAGACAGAAGCAGGGAATTTGAAGAGTGTTTCCTGGTTTGCCCTGAATGTAGGCCATTTGTTTTTTTGATCTGGTCTGAAATTAGTCACCTTTGGATGTAGCAGGAAATTATCTCATGAAGTTGGAGATGGGTTGGGTTTCTCCATAATTTTTCTCGTTAAATGAGATGTAACTAAGGTACTTTCCAGGCCCGAAACAGACTTTCTGTAGCTTCAAGGGGGTGAAATTTGAATTCTAATTCAAGGGCACCTGGTGAATGGTTGACTCAAGAATCCTCCCTCAACTGAACTGAATGGTGTGTGGGTACTTTTGGTGCATGGAGGAAAACAGCACATGCATAGATAATTGAGCACCTAGTATGTACTAGATCTTAGACCAGGTGCTAGCTAGATGGCAGGGGCAAAATTCACTTGGAGTCTCCTCCAAGGAGCTTATAATTTACTTGGTGGGGACAGGGGATGCTAGACATCAAATGAGTATACCCACAAATAATTTTGTAACTATAATTGAGTCAAAAGCTAGGAGGGAAAGATAGTGGGTGGTATGAGATTCTTGTACTTTAGGGAATCTCATCTAAGTTGAGGTGGGGGAGGAGCAGGGAAAGTTTCTCTGAGGAAGCTGAGACCTGCTTGGAGTATAAGGAGTTTAGATAGGCCAGGGTGTGGGTGTGGGTAAAGGAGTGGCTGAGTCAGAGGTAGAAGAGTCCCATGTGCAGAGGCTCTGAGGTGGGAGTGAGCTTGGCCTGTGGAGGGAATAGAGGTGGCCGGAATGGCTGGATTGTGGGGAGCAAGGAGAGTGGTGGGAGGTGAGGCCACAGAGGCAGGTCGGCTCAGATCACACAGCCTTGAAGGCCTGGGTAAGGATTTTGAACCCCATCGTAAGAAGCAGGAAGCTATTGAAAGGTTTTTAGCAGAATAGTATCATGCTTTGATTTTTAATTAAATCTGGTTTGGCTTTTTAAAAGCTCTCTGATGGCGACATGGAGAAATGCCCCAATTCCTTGCCCCTACTTTGCATGTCAGCATCTTTTCTCTGTTTCACATGGGTGGCTGAAGTTCATGTAATGTGTAAGGCCACGCACGTGCTTGTCAGTGCCTTAGGCATTCTTGAAGGTCTTGGAGGAGAAGACCTGTTTCCCAGGTTTGAGCCCCTCTGTTTCGTGGCCCTGGCCAGGTCTCACCTGGCTGCCCCTATTCCTTCTCCTGTTGGCGGCTGCAGCCTGCTCGACTCTCTGTGTCTCAGTGGTGAGTAACTAACACACGGGTGAGCTCTGTTCCTGTCACCACATCTCAAATGAGTTGAGCTGCTCAACATTTCTGTCTTTTCTTGTGATGGATCCCCTTTCTAGGATCACAGCCACCTTCAAGAGAATCCAGTGGGACAGCTGTCACCCCAGAGAGCCGGCACCAGTCCCCTAGCACAAACTGCTTTGGAGGGAGATCCCGGTAAGACCCCTGTGGAGGAGGAGGAACGTGGATGATGCTTAGAGCCATTGAAAACATGCTGGCAAGTGACGAGGAACGATTTATGTTAGAAACTGGTGGACATTTCCAGAGAGCTTATAACTGACTCGCTGTGTTAAGGAGGCCCAGAGGGGAGTACAAAACTCAGGATTCCCGGAAGGGTCAGGGGCTGCTTGTCAAAGGTTGGAACTGGCTAAGTTGGTTATTTGGATAAGAGGAACTGGCGAACAGAACTTCACTACTTTTTTATACATCAGGTGCAGTGACCACAGTTACCCTTCCAAGATACACACAGAAATGCTTAGAGCAATGCTTCTTTGTGTGTGACATTTTCTCTCTGTCTGTTTCTACTTTGGGGGTTGGTTAAGACCTCCCGTACTTTGAGTCTGAGTTATATTATACTTGTTACACGTATCACGGATGACATAATTTTATTTACCTACATTCCCATCTTACACCTGGGTTAATGGTGCAAACTCATTTTCATGGCAACAGAATTCCCAGACAGAAGAATAGTTTTAAGTGTATTAGGGAGATTGGAAAGGGATTGGGAGCCTATTTTTACTGTTTATTACAATGTACAAAATCCCTAGACATTTTAAGGAGAAGAACCATATGAATGTAGTGTGAAAATCTTTGTTAATCTGTGGAGAGTAGGCTAATAACTGGTAAAATCTTCCCAAATAAGTCCTAGGACATGGGGAAAAATGCTTGGAGAAGACATATGATTTTAGCCAATACCCACAACATCTGGAATGGATTCCTCTGAGGACAGCCATCAGCCTCTCTGGACTTGGTTGCTTTGAGGATTTGTGAGATTTCCATGCTTGGCAGGTGTCAGGAGCAAGAGATGGTTGGGTGTTTGGGTCTTTTGTCTATAGAGTCATTAGAAGCTGAGGTGCTGTTTCCCTGTCTTCTTTTCTCCAAGTGCCTGCAGAGGTGTTCCCCACGCGCTAAGGACTGGTCTCCCATTTCTGTGACTCGCTAGGTGACTTATGGGTTGGGATAAATAGTCAAGTCTCACAGCATTAAGGACCGACAATGTAACTGTCAAATCTATGTCCAGCAAGGAGTGATGGGCACCCAGAACAAGAGAAAACAGAATCTCTTCAGTGCCAAGTAGCTGGCAGAGAGAACACCTCAGCATTTCACTCTCTGAGATTGATGCCGTCTTAGCTTTGGCACTGGTAACCGCCACTTTGGCCTTAAAGCTGACTTGGAAAATTTGTGTCAAACAACTGATACATTTATTTGGAGCTGGAAGGCAGAGTCCAGCTCTTAACAAGTTTGGACTTAAGTTTTTGACCTATTTATTGCTCTCTGAACTTCTGTAGCTTTCAGTTAGACCCTGAAATTCATATGCTGTATCCTGATAGCCCTTCTCTGTTATTTGTGTTGAGGATTGTTAACTATTAAAACAGCAGCCAGACTTCAACAGAAAATCAGATGCATTTTTGCCATGACACGTGGTAGACACACGGTGCTCGTTAATTATCGGTGGGCAAAGTGCCCTCCAGCTCAGGAGTCCTCCTTCTCTGTCTGCCTAGCCACTGCAGCATTTTCCACGCGTGGCCTCTGAGCTTTCACAGGCCTCGGCCATCTAAGTGTTTATTCTGTGTTCGCATGCAACCTGCTGCCATTCAGCAGCAAACACTTTTGAAAGTATCACCTGAAGGCAGTATCTTTTGTGTCCCTAAGAGCCCCTTTCCCCATTGCCACTGGTCATTGTGCACACACCGGCAGCAGCAGGGTAGTTGGCTGGATAAGAGTGCTCCCAGTACAACTTAATATGGGGTATTGCGCAAGTCACTAAACCTCCTGGTGCTTCAGATTTTTCAGGTGAAAAAGGAGATATTACCTGCCTCATGGGGTCATTGTAGGAATGAACCGAGATGAGGTATGTCAGCCTGAGGGCTGTGCACACTGGGAGTGCTCAGTGAAAGTGTGTGTAGGGGTTCTGTGCTCTGGAGACTGTCTGTTGCACCCCCTTCTCCTCCCCTCCAACCTGGGGAATGAGGCATTGCTGATGTGTTCACATCAGTTAGGAGGGTGATGAATCAAACCTTCAGGGTTCAAGGACAATCCTCTGCTGTCCTTGGTTTGCCAGGGCAGAGAGAATGATGGGCTTCTGTCTGCTGCCTCCCAGACTAAATATTTAGCTTTCACTGTCTGAAGGGCAGGTTTTGCTTGGACTTGGGTGCTATTTACCATGATCAAAGGTGCTCTGACGTGCCGTGAAGGTGAAGATTGCAATGTCAAAGCAGCCTTTTCCTCTCCCTTTCCCCTACTGTCTCAAGCCATAGAGCTGGAACCGTGTAAGAGTTCTATCTCAGGGGTTCACCCACCAAGGTTCATCTAGCAAAGGCACCTTTGCTTGCCGATCAAGGCCTCAAGGCTCCATCTCTCAGTGAGATCTTGCCCATTGTTTAATACTAATCGAGTGAAACAACTCCAGTTATTTTATCATCTGGTCTGCCACATGGAAACCAGCATGGGTTTACCACCAATAATTCATGTGGTGTAAATTTATTTGCAGACAGACCATATTAGTACATAGTCAGTGGGTCTGGTTGATTGAAGAAAGAGTTAACATCATAAATTGTTGTCTAGCCCTATGATGAAATACTGCCCCATAGTAAAAATGAGTCCAAGTAAGTTACATTAATATGGTGGCATCTCGGAAACATAACATTGAACAAGAGAAGCAGGTCATTGAAGAAAACATACAGTGTGATGTAATTTTTATAATGTTAAAAAATAAAAAATTAAACCATATATTTTTTTAAGACTACCTTCACAGGTAGTAAAACTCTAAAACATGGAAGGGACTAATTAACCCTGAATTCAGGAGAATGTTTATCATTGGGGAGGTGGAGAAGGGTATAATGTGGAAAAATCACATTCTAGTACCAGAAACTTCTAGGTACTGGGAATCTACTTCTTAGCCTGGGCGGTGGGTACCCGAGTGTTCATCTTATTGTTCTTCTTTAAACTAAATATATATTTAATATATTCTTTTGTTTATATGGTACATTTCACTGTAAAAAATAAAAAAGAGTCACATACCCACCTCAGAAAACTGAACTGCGATGGAGAAATTGTTTGCTACCGAGGCAGGGGGATTTTAGAACCTAAGATTTCCCCAGGCTCCATAATGACCACTGATTTCTGTTTTGCCCAGTTTCTGCACGTAGCAGTGTAGCTGATGATTCTGAGTCAGTATTCCACACTGGCATTGCGTTCCTGTCACTTAGAAATCTCAGGCCTGAGAATTTAGTTGGGGAGGTGGGGCAATGGGTTCCAAACGAAAGCTGGTCATTGCCAGGTAATGTGTCAGAACAGCACTGGTCTTGGTGGCCTGAGAGGGCTGGTCTAGCGCCATTTGGTGTTTGATTGGAGTGGGTGGATGACAGGGCACACGGAGGATTCTGTCTGTTGGTGTGCCACCCTGCCCTGTGTTCTCAGCCAGTGTTCTATCTCAGCAGTGGAGAGTGCCCACACTATCACAGAGCCCCCTGGGAGAGTGTGTGCTAGTTGGCATGGGGAGTACCTACCACACCCTTTAATAATCCCCCAGTGCTTATTTTATTTTGCGAGAATGAGGGCTGGCTTTGGGAACCGTGCCTAAGTCAATCCAGGTTTCGAAGATCTAATAATGTGTGCCTGGTATGGTGCGCACATTGCACAGGGCTTGCCTGAAGCACTTTCTGCAGCGAGTTCACAGTCTTCATGATACACAAGATGTGTATGAAACAGGCAAATAAAACTGTGAGTGCTGGGGGAAGCTCAGAGAGAAGAAATCAGTGGAGTGGGAAAGATTAAGGTGAGAGCGGGGTGGGAGTTTGTAGAGAGACTGGTGTCCATCGTCCGTTGTTCAGTGCAGTACCTTAGGGACTAGTTGAGGCAGCTAACTCGTGAACTTAGAGAAGCTAACAGTAGGGTGTACATGGAGGGGTAAAGAACCCAGCCAAGGGGATCCATGCTGGTGCTGGCAGCTCTGTTCAGAGTTACTCTTAGGTTAGAAATAGCTGTGAAATTCCAGACTGAAGAGTGGAAAGCCAGCATGTCTGAGTCCCTCTGTTGCTGGCTGATTGTTCATGACCTGTCTTTCCCCCTCCTCCTTTGCTATTATGTGAAATCAGGGCGTGAAGGTGAAATCAGTTAACAGATGGAACCTGTAGGATTGTCTCCTAGCGATGCTGCTGCTCCAAGCTCAGCCTTAAGATTTCTTCTGACTCGAATAACTTGCTCCTCAGTCTAGAGTCCCTGTAGATTTTCCAGTCATATAAGGAAATGGTACAAAAAAGTGGAAGAATGCTCTGATTTTGCTTTTAGGTTCATAAAGTTTTTCATTAATAGGTCTGAAATTTGTAAAAGGGATCTTGGTGAAGAAACTGTATGTAGGGGCTTAAATGACTAATTTTCCTGTATGGATTTAAGTTATTTTTTGTATAGAAGTATACGTGAACGTGCATGAACGTGTGTGTATGTGCTTGGTGAAGGGCTGGGGGCCTTAAATTTGCCTATGTCCATCATCAGTTGTGAGTGTTGGCCAGCGTTGGTTAGAGTCTGTGTTTTAACAAATTTCCCCCTACCCAACCCCATGCTTTTGTTACATGTAAAAGTTTCAAACCTCTTATGAGAGAATTTTCATCTTCTTTCCCTTTTTGTCTTGCTTTGATGAAAGCATATCAAGTTTATTGACTCCTTTGCCCTGGCATTAATGACCTCTAAAGATTTAAAAGAAGTATAATCTCGGAGACTTATAGAGCCCCAAGGTCTCTGGTGAGCTCTAAATAGCTCATCAGCTGTGTCTGCAGACAGCGTAGCCCAGAAAGGAAAGAAAAATAAACTCAACCAGGCGTGATTCTGCTGGGAACACTGCTGGGAGTCCTGGGAGGCCCAACGGGTATTGGGAAGCAAAGCTAACCGGGAAGGAGGGACAGGAACTGAGCCTCTGAGCGCTGGGCCACTCTCTCAGT